GACCAGTGATGGCTGTCCCCAGTGCCAGAAGGGGTTGCCTGGGTTACTCTGGGATGTGAATGGACACACTCCACACCTCCATGGACCCCCACTGCTGCCAAAACAGCTCCACATAAGTCTGCAGCAAAGCCCAAATCATGGAATGGTAGGCTTGGAAGGGACCTGAAAGCTCATCCAGTCCCACCCCCTGCCATTGACAGGGACACCTCCCACTAGCCCAGGTTGCTCCAAGCCCTGTCCAACCTGGCCTTGGACACTTCCAGGGATCCAGGGACAGCCACAGCTTCTCTGGGCAACCTGTGCCAGGGCCTCCCCACCCTCACAGAGAAGGATTTCTTCCCAATATCCCATCTAACTCTGCCCTCTGGCAGTTTGAAGCCATTCCCCCTTGTCCTGTCACTCCAGGCCCTTGTCAGTAGTCTCTCTCCATCTTTCCTGTCAGCTCCTTCAGGCACTGGAAGGCCACAGTCAGGTCATCCCAAAGCTTCTCTTCTCCAGGCTGAACAATCCCAGTTCTCCCAGCCTTTCCTCCCAGGAGAGCTGCTCCATCCCTCTGATCGTCTTGGTGCCTCCTCTGGACTCAGATGGGAGGTTGGGTCATTCCGAGGGGGCTCCTCTGGGAAGTGGAGCCATGAGAGCTCCCAGCTGAGGCCTTTACACAACCCACAGCTCTCCCCTGCCCAGCTTGGCTTTTCCAGCAGGAGCTTTGGGTTTCCAGCACCATCTCCTCCAAGGACACCTGCTGTTGACTCACCTATTGTAAATGGGACATAATTCCTGGAAGCTGCTCTGGTGAGATTTGCAGAGTCATCGGAGGGGGTTCATGTTACTCGAAGGGAGCAGTTTGTTGTGTGAACAAACATTTCCCTGAACCACCTCCTGCTTTCTCTTCCTTGTTCACCACCACAACAGGGTTGGGCTGGCCCCTCCTTTGGCCAAGGAATTGGCTTTAGGATGCACTGGATGGCTTGGTTTAAGGATGTATCTGGAATCTGGATGCCTGTCCTTTAGCTGCACCCCGTCTTCTTGATCATATCAAAAATATATCCCAATATACATGTCTGGGTTGGATACACCACATTTCTCATGGCATTATCCACCCACAGGCTGTGGCACAGATAAGGAGAGCAGTAGATGGAACAACAAGAGTGGGAAAATCCTGCTGGGTTTTCAACAGCTTTGAGGAGGAATTTTTCAGTGGAAATCTTTTGTCTGGAAACTGCCTGCCCATTGTAATGGAAACGGTCCATAGGAAGAGGTTTGTTTGGACAAATATTCTGCTAAGTGTTTCTGGGGGGAGGAGAAACAAATTGGAAATGTTCCAATCCTTCCCACTTCAGCTATTTCAGAATAACAGTATCTGAACCTCCCTTTAGAAATAACCATGAGAGCTTAGAAGCTTAATTTAGGAAATGATAAATTAATAAAATACTGAACCTGCATAAAGTAAAAGCAAGAAAGGCCTGTGTGGCGAAAGGCAGTGTCCAGCCAAAGATGACTGTGTCTCTCCTCAAGGTGACCTCCATCTCCCCAGGTGCAGGGAGACCTCTCAGCTCTTCTGTCTTGTTCCAGAGCCCCTAATTCCCTTTTCCAGGTGCCTGTGTGCTGGGGAACCAGCAGCACCACAGACCCAACTGCCCTTCTCGCTGAGCCGCTGCTCTGCCTTGTGCTGAAGCTTCCCCCCAGGTACTGCAGCACCTTGTGGACTTGCTGTAAAATCACTAATTAAATAAAAAAAGCCATTTCAGAGGTGTTGGATTGGCCCAGAAAAGGGAGGCAGGACACATGACAGGGGGTGGGTTTGAGGGGGGCTGGAGAGGTGACGATGCCCAGCGAGCACCAGCAGTGCCCTGACCATCAATGGGACGGTCCCTGCCCCCTGATTTTGGGCAGCCTGCTTCGAGAGGACCAAGTGATGCCCTCAGGACTGAAGGATGGAGGGTGACATCCCATCCACCTGATGCTGCAGCAGCCAGGTCCACCTGGAAGGTGGCTCTTTGGGCACTGCTCCTGGGAGTCCTGCTCCGTGCAGGGGCTGGATGTTGGCATGGGGCAGCCAAGCCAGAGAGGGGGCCTGACACTTTCCTGCCCTCCCTGTCCCATAAAAACCCTACCAAATGGTTTTAAGAGGAAAAGAGCATTCTAGGTGGGCATTAGGGAAAGCCACAGGATGGCCAAGGGGCCTCAAAGCCCCTTGATCTGATCCTTGAGGCTGATCCCAGGCACACATCCCCCTGCTGCTGAAGCCAGCGTTGCCCTCTAATGAAGAGAGACATTTTCTTACTTCTTGGAATTGGTTTCTATATTCTATGGAATGAGAAGACCTTTAAGGCCCCCTCCAACACAAACCATTCCCTGATTCTCTGCCTTTTAAAAAATCCCATTATCACCAGCACAGTGGCTGTAACCCGGGGCAACTTCTATGGTTTAATGATAAAACCTTTGAATTGGAGACACATTATTTCATATTCCTTTGAATGTATTCCTGCTTCCAGCTACTACAGCTGTCAGCAGTGCAAGAGGTGTCTGAGGATGCAGGAAAAAACAACCTGTCACCCTTTGGAGCAGGAAACCAGCTCCTTCATCCCACACCTCGACTCACATGAGAAAGAGAAGTCAGAGCAGAATTACCCTGAAGGAGCGGAGTTATTATAGCATGTTCTTGCACATGGGGTTTGTATTTATATCAATGAGAGGAAAAATGGAAAATAGTCAAGGAAAAATATTTTTGAGGAAAATAATGTCCCGTACATTTAAATGTTCCACATTTACTCTTATTTGACAAAAGGCACTTACTACAGATGCCTCAGCCCAAACACTCCTTTGGTTAACCAGGAAACAAGTTCTTATGTTCCAGCAGCACCAAGCAAACCCTGCAAACCTGGCATGGCTGCATTTTCCCCAACAACCTGCCTCCTTCCACCCCGGAACTGAGTGGCCGAGCTTTCCAATGGCAGCTCCAAAGCTCTGGCCGGTTCCCCCTGGGAAGCCCAGCTCCCCAGCTCCCCCCATCCAGCACCACCTCCCGCTCCCTGGAGTGTGGAGCAGCTCACCTGGGAGCAGCAGGAAGAGCCAGAGGAGCAGAGGGATGGACGGGAGCAGCATCTCCGCGGCGGTTGCGGCTCCGGAGCCCCGCCGAGGCTCTGGCCATGCCGGGAAGGAGCGCAGGGCGAGGATTTGCCTGCCTGGGCTGACTCTCACAGAGCTTCCTGTTAAAGAATAGAAGGAAACGGGCTGAATCCACAGGGGAACTGTGTTTTTCAGCCCATTATGGTCGGGGAGGATGTGAGACATCGCTCAGGCGGCAAAGGAAACCTCGCCGTGGCTTTGGTGGGGGATTCGGCTCCTCTGGTGGGGGACAGCGGAGTCACAGCCCTGCTTTGGGCCTCGGGAGCTTCCTTATGGTGCTTGGGTTTTTGGGAGATGCTTTGTTTGTGGTAGGATGTGCCCCCAGCTCCAATCCACCCCGCATCAGCTGTGAGGGCTGTGTGGGATAAGAGCTGCAGGAGGAGCTGGTGCTCCCCCCAACCTGAGGAGGGATTTCTTAGTACCTCCATGAGGGATTTTGGAATAATTGCTCCTTGTGGGGCCAGGGTAACTCAGCAGCTGGATCTGCCCTGTACCCTGTGCCTCCCTGTGCAGCTCCAGCCTGTCTGGCACCGGGATGTGCCACCTTTGGGATGCAGTTCTCCAGGTAGCAGCAGCATCCCTTCCCACAGGACACACAGCTTTGACTTACCCCTTCCCCAGCTCCTTGAGAAGGGGAGGAACTGGAAAATTGGGCCAGTTCTGGCCCCCATCCAGCCCGAGGGGTTCAGGCTGTTTCTTGGCCCCAGCCTTGTGACATGCTGGTCTATGCAGGTCCTGCCTGTCCATAGTTTGAACTCCAGAGGGAATAATTTGATTTAAATGGGTGTCTGGGGGAGGAGAAGGGTTGTAGTGTCCCCACATGGGAAAGGTTGCCTGTCTTGGAGGGTCCATGTGGGTGTTCAGGATGCAAGCCACAGGATTGTGTCTTCTGCTCTAGGGGCTGGTCCAACCCCCTCCCACAGCCCCCCAAAAGCCACAGAGCTTCATCTGAGGGCAACAGAGCTGCTCCTTCACAGCACTGAGTGCATCAAGGGGTGACTGCTGCTGCTGCCAAGGTCCTTTCTTCCCACAGCTGGGAGATGGTGGCAGGCCTGGAAGGAGAGATCCCCCATGCACTGGGCAGCTCCTCATGTTTCTGGGGGTCTTCAGACCCCTCCAGCCCCCCCAGCAAACCACCAGCCCCCTGGCAGTGGCCTCTCCAGCAGCCTTTGCTGGGACAAAGCCCCTGCCAGCAGCTCCCCCCATTCCTCTGTCCCTTGCACAGATGTGACGCTCAGAGATTATGCTGTAGATTAAGGTTTTACTGAATCCTGAAATGAGTGCAAATTCCCAGAAGCTCTCACATGCAGTTAAATCTCTTCTGGATGCTCGGCTGGATGGTGGAAAAGGCATTTCCCACCCCGTCCTTCCCACGTGCAGGAAGGACAGAGCCCAAATATTCACCCCAGCTTGTGTGCTGAGAGCCTGCAGGTAAGAACAGTGGTGTTTTGGGAAGGGAGGATGGGGAGACGTGCTTTGTTTTGGCTAAAACTCCAGGGGATCCATGTTTTCCGCTCGGAGATGTGCTCAGGGTCATTCCCAGTGGTCTGACACACAGCATCCCTGGGCCAGGGGATGGTACCCACCTGAGTGCAGGGGTGATGTACCAGCCTGGAGGGCATCCCTGGAGAGTATCCCTGGAGGGCATCCCTAGAGGATATCCCTGGAGGACGTTCCTGGAGGGTATCCCTGCCAGCCTTGTGGCACAGCTGCCGTGCAAGGGGACAGATGTGCCAGCCCTGCCCTGGCACTGGTCACGGAATCACAGAATCATTGGAGAAAACCTTGCACAGAGGTTTGGACCATCCAACCTTGATGGTCCAAAGGGTGCAGAGCTTCCCCAGGGACTCCCACCTCTGGCCACAGCCGTGCTGGGAGTGCTCCTGCCGCAGCAGTGGGACAGAGAAAATCACCTCTGGGGTTGCTCCCTCCCTCGGACGAGGGTCCTTCCCACCCGGATCCCTGTGTGGATACACTCACTGTCCCGGGCTGTGCAGAGTTCACGTGCAGAGGGGCTTTTTTTACCCCCGTTTCTTCCTCACGTTACATTTTCACGCCGAGCCGGTGGTTTCGGGGAGGTTTCCTGCCTTGGGTGCAGCTGAAGGGGGGGTGGGCGCTTGTCCCCAAACAAAGGGCCCTTGTCCTGCGCGGGGTGAGAGGAGGGTCGGCGGGAGCGGGGAGGGGGCGGCAGCGCTGAGGTGGCACCGGGCTGGGAATGGGAGCAGCTCCTGCCCCGGGGTGAGCAGGCGCTTCCTCGTGTGCCCCGGGCATCCCGGGGGGGTGTGGGGCCGAGGAGTGACGTGGCAGCTTCCGAGGTGAGTGTGGCTGCACCTACACCGGAGATCATCCCGGAGCTGTTCCTGCTGCTCCCGCCGTCCGCTTCCCAGCCCCGCCGCTGGAGACGATGATTCCCAGGCAGCAGGAAAGCCGAGGTACCCCTGAGGGGCTGGGAGGGCTCTCCGTCCCTGCTCTCCCCCCACTGCCCCTGCTCCCACCCGTGCTGGCTCCCACGGGATTTTGCCACCGTGGCGAGGGACGACTCACGGGGTTGGGTCTCCCAGGGTGGCCCCCGTGGGGCCGTTTGGTCCTGGATTAGCGCCGTGGGGCCGGGGGTGAAGAGGGGAGGGTGGAGGGGGTGTAGTGGGGAGGAAAAGCCCCACGCCAGAGGTGTCCAGGTGACGGGGACAGAGGGCATTTCCTCCCCGGCGGAACGTGTCCAGGGAACCATCCTACAAGCCCAGAGACAGCCACCAAAACTGATCCTGTCCCACGAGCCCGAGGGAGGGAGCGCTTATGGGATCATCCCATTCCCTGGCAGCTGCAAGTGCAGGCAGGAGCTGCGGCCTCGAGGGCAGGAGATAGGGACAGGAACAGCCTCTGCTCGGGGGTCACCCTGTTCCCCCCCGGGTTTCCCTGTGCCAGGTCAGCCTGCTGAGCCATGAACAGCTCCGTGCCCGGCAGCCAGCTGAGACACCCCGAGCCGCAGGACGTGGCCGCCGTCACTCCCGTGTCGGTCGCCAGGGCCGTGACGAAGAAGGCGGACGCGCTGCCCATGATCTCGGTCATCGTGGTGGTCTTCGTGCTCCTGGCCGTGTTCATCATCCTCGTGGTGCACTACGGGCCCCAGCTCCGCACCGTGCAGATCACCCTGTACCACGAGCCCCTGCCGCAGGACCTGCACAACGGGGTGCACCTCACGCACTGGAAGCAGCTGGACCCCCAGAGGAGGTGGGATCTGCCTGGCATGGATCTGGCTGGAGGGAGCTGCCAGTGCTCCTGCAAGCACCACCTTCCCGGTGGGAGCGCTGAGCCCAACGTCATCGAGGTCACGTACCTGTGACACGGCCCCGGGACACCTGAGACTGTGTCCCACTGGAAAAGCAGTGACTGGATGTCAGTGTATCCCGAGACTCACCGGTTCCCAGGCAGAGGCTGCACCTCTCCAGGTCTGGCCCCAGGAGGGCTCAGCCAGGAGGTTCAGTGTCACTGCAGTGACCCACCACCAGCCCCCAGAAGTCCAGCCTGGGGGTTGCTGCTGTCCCCAGGCAGGAGCTGGGTCCCAGCCCGGGCTCTGGGACTGGGTCAGCCCTCATGGGACAGCATTAGCATCAGTTCTGACTTTCCTCACCCTGGTTTTACCTGTCCCACACTGCCTGGGAGTGGCCAAGAGAGCTGTCTTGGTCCTTGTCCCAGCTGAGGAGCTCTGGGGCTCTGCTCGGCCCCTTGGCAGGAGCTGGAAGTTACGTCATCTGGAATTGTTTTCCTGATGAAAGATGTTTCCTCATTCACAGTGTCCTCATTACACCATTTATATGTCACGGAGAAGCCTCCAATCCCTCTTTTCCTCTGTGCCACAGCCCCTTTTCCTCTGTCAGAGGGCTGAAACACCATCCTCCCCCCTGGCAGCCCTGGCAGCAGGCTCAGCCCTTGGGACAAACAGCCAGAGAAGAAGAGAAGAGGCAACTCCTCAACCCATGTTGGTGGAGCCAGTGACAGGGGGCAATGTGTCCTTTCCCCAGGGGAGGTGTGTGAGAGAAGAGTGGTGACACAGCAGAGGCAAGAGAGGTGATAATGGCACATCACAGCTGGCTGAACATCTGGAGGTGTTGGCACCAGAGGAGATGGGCAGAGACTGCAGCATCTCTGTGCACGGGGATGGGGAGACCTGAGGTCATCCTCACTGGGGTCATCCTCACCGGAGACAACCCCAACTGAGATCATCCTCACTGAGATCATCCTCACTGTGGTCATCCTCACTGTCCCCAGCTCTGGCTGGTGTCCCTGGGCCAAGGGCAGCTCTGCTCAGGGCAGGGGGACTCGGGTGGTTGGAAGCAGCCAGGCATGTCCCAGCCAAGGAGGGAGTGATGGTGGGGTTGGCACAGTCAGCCACAGGGAGGAGGATATTGATGTGACTCCATCACCCTGGGTAGGAGCTCGTTGAGGTGGCACAGAGGGAGCAGACAGAGAGGTTAAATCTCCTGAGCCCTGAAGGCTCCTGGTGGTATCAGACTGTGGTAGCTGTTGAGCCCTGGGGGCCCTTCTGCTGCTGGAAGGCATCTCTTTGGCCTCAGGTGGAAGCTGGACATCAAGGCCTGTCTTCAGTGCAGGGCTCACCAGACACTCCCTGGGGAAGCAGCACAGCCCCTGGGATCACCCACAAGGATTTATGCTGCTGAACAGTCCCAGAAGTCAAAATATGGTTCCCAGCTCTCCCCTTCCCACAAAAGCCAGGTCCGTGTCCACCCTTTGCTGCATCCCCAGCACAGATCCCTCTGTGCACAGGTGGACAAAAAATGGGGCTTTACCTGTTCCTTCAGGCACTGGGAGTATTTCTGACATGGCAGATGCTCCAGCATCCCTCTTCTCACTTATTTCCAGCTCTTTTTTCACTTACTTTAAAGCTGGGTAGTGGTTGGACTTGCTGGAAACTTTTTGTCTCAACAATAAACATAATTTATATTACCTTTGGAGGGGGCATTTTCTGTTTTGATTTTTTTTCCTTTTTGTTTTCCAGAGGTGATGGTGCAGTTATTAGCTTTCCCACT